CGAGAACCTAGGATCTCGTGGCGCAAGTATCTTGACATATATTGTCCAATACCTGACCTTCGATTTACAGTCATTGAACAACGACCGAACTATCCAAACACAAACCCACCGAAACAAGAATCGCTGCCGTAAGAACGTTTGAGCGCATGTTCTGACCCTCATGGAAAGTATAGATAGTTGAACCCAACGGCATACTGTAATCAGCAGCTATTTGGGAGTCTGCGATGTCGAACAAGTTGCTTTTCCGGTAAATGTGACACGAAAAGGATGAAGAAGCACAGTAATCCGTGCGAAAGAGTATGCAAATTTGATTCGTTGAATGCAATTCCAGTCTCTCAGGTCGTCACTAACCTCCGGATGCCTCAGTGGGGCTATATCTACTCTGCTTTTTCAACCACTTGACGTGCTGAAAACAAGATTACAAACCGAAATACTCGTCGGGTAAGATATATAGCGTCACAATTCTCATTACAAATTTGGCTCGCAAATTACACATGTATCAAATCCATCGTTTCGAGAAATAATCCGTATTCAGGTCCTAAGACGCTATGATTTGTTCCTAATTCATATTCAAAGCTATCAGGTAATATATATTCAGTTCAGTGTAAATAATCACTAAGTATGCATTTACGTGCGACGCTTTTGGTTGCTGTCTTTTGGCTGCCCATTTGGGTGAACAACAGGAGGAAAACAGGAAGGTTGGAAGGAAAGCAGAATCGAAGAGAAAATTGAAACGCTCAATAGACTAATAAAGCAGAGAAATTGAGAAGATGCACGAACTCCACTGTTTACAATACCCAGCAATAACACTCAGTGTATCTAGCCATCGGTTGCGACCATCCCGAGGTCCCCATCCAGAGAGCCTAACAAGACCTATGTTACCCAGATTCTTGGTTAGGGTTTTCATACTCTCATGCCAGGCCTTCACTTGACCACCCGGGGCTTTATACCACCTACTACCTTCCTCGACAAGCATCGCTCGCCGTGTCAATCTATTTGGTGACGGTAATATATATGTATATACGCTTTTGTCTCACTTCGGCTTTCTTTCAACGAGTCGTAGAAAACTGTTATTCTGTTGCGTTATTCCAGGCATGCTAACCCAGGTCTTCGTAACCTGTGCAAGTCCGTTTGGTGCACGAAAACAACGAGAACACAATCACTTCCGCTATGCCAAGGATTACTGAACTTCTGGGCGGGTACAACACCATCCTTATGGAGATGTGTTCCGGGTGTTGGTGGTTATTTCCTGTTCTTAAGTTTGTTGGAGAAAAACACCACGTGGTAAGTGATTCATTTTCGGTTCCCTGTGATATTTCCTTTTTATTTGTCATAGTATACACTAATAAGTCGGAGTGAGAACTTGATACTTACCAATTATCCGAGCTAACTTTGTTGGTATGCAAACCTGTCGATGGACAAGATGGTGAGAAAGATGTCTCACTGTTCTAGATGTGGTTTCAATAAACAAAGCCGTTAGCGTTGCACTTTCGTGTTACCATTTTATTTGCTGTTTTGAGGCCGCTCATTTTGTCGAACAATAAACAAATGACGGGAACATACGGCAATATCCAGATACATGCACACGATGCATGTGAGCGGAAAGTAAATATAGGCAATGACCGGTTTGCGAGCAAGCTTGGTACCAACGGAACAAAAATAACGGAACACGTGGGGAATGGGGGTCGGGATACAAAACAAGGTGAATTGAAAGTTAAACATCTACAGTGAACCACAAGGATAACAGTTTTTGTTTGTTTCACTGTAATCGTTTTAATGTTTTGTGTGTTAGTCCATCATTTTCTTATGGGTTTCAGGATTTCAACAGACAAACCATATTGCATTCGTGCCACTGACTTCTATTCTGGGTCATATCTCTCAGCATCTCCAACCATCGACAATCCTCATCTTTTGGGCCCCAACCTGGCGGGCGTCGTGCACCAACCGAAGCCAAAGCTGAAGCTAGTTTCTTCATATCTGTATGCTGTGTCGTGGTTTGACCGCCGCGGCACTTCTTCCGGCCTTGCCCGGCACGTGCAAAGAGAGCACGGAAAGGTAGTAGTCGATGGGCAGGCATACGCTGTACGTGACCAAGCCAACGGGGGCGGTTTAGAGTGATTACTTGTGTTAGATACTGACTATCCACACCCAATACACGACTTCGAACCTCGTCATTACTCACCAGGTGTTCCACCAGACACGATCAATGCTTCAGGGAAGTCGTTGATCAAATACATAAAGTCGATTGGCGTCCTCTGTGCGGAGGGGCCAGGTCTCGCAACCGTAAAACCGAACCGCGACAATGTGTACCATTCCCGTAAAGGACAGTTAAGTGTCATGGCGGCACCACAGGTGTCGCAGGTTGGCAAAAGCTACTCTAACTTTCGCTATTTATGATGTGATCTCAACACTACCATCAGCTGCGATCAAGCTCCCGAGGTACTGAAAACACCACGGAGAGTTAGTGCGGACACGGGTTCCTGTCAGTCAAGCATTTCGCACTTGGATGGTGCGAAGCACATATCTCTATCATCAAGTGGTTTAAAGCGTGTTGGACTTTTGCATTGTTGTCCAACAAGGCCAGGTCATCGGCATATTCTAAGTCAAGAACTCGGTTCCTTGGTTGGGGGTAGTTCTGCTCCACCGTTTTCTAGACCGGACAAAGCATTCTGCAGTACATTCTCTGTGACAAAGTTGAAGAGGAATGAGTATATATGGTAGCTGTTTGGAATCAGGTTCTTTGGCCATCTCCCCTAGGTGAGCTACCAGTGGTTCACCAACCTGGTTATAGTCCCGGATGTTGGCATTTCGTCCACTCAGGTTTGTGGGAAAACACATTTGCCTCGGACGTTTGACCCGGTCCGAATGACGACTGATCCGATGAACTGGACATCTGCTCCCATTGGACTGCGGTTTTCATACACCGCCCCGCTGTCTTGCGGGTCAGACTTTAGCTAGCCGAAGTCTCCGGTTGTGAATTCCTCGAGCAAATCCACCTGCCTTGGCCTGGGCAACCTGGCAGTATTCAGCCCACAAGCCAATCATGGAAGCCAATCTTACCCACTTGATCACTGGGCAGTTGATCAGACTATTCCATCTATCTAGGATCTAGTTCTGTGTACGATCAAAGTAATCGCGAATTCGAATAGACTACTCGGGTACTTCTTTCTCACTCTTCGCAAATTGTTTGCAATTTTTATACCGGTCAGGTAGTATTGTATCCGTCCATGTATCAAGATTACGAATAATGTGTTGGAGATCTGTCAGCTTTAACGTCCATTTACAAGAAAGGCGATAGTTCCTCCTGTCAAAACCACAGA